TTTTAAATAAATTGGAAATGTACAAATCTGTAATCAATTAAAAAATACAAATGAATGAATGAATGAATGAATGAGAGAATGAATGAATGAATGAGAGAATGAATGAATGAATGAATGATGTAAATTTTTTTACACCTTATATATATACCTTATTGAGTTTTTTAGTAGATAATATTCCATAAGTGCAAGGTTTTTTTAATAATTCGTATATTGTTATTTTTCTATCTAATTTTGGTTTTTTAAATCCGACATTAAAATCAATTACGTGAAGATACGTTTTGATTCCTGGAACGGGAATACAATCGGACAAACATTCGACGCCCTGAAAATAAAATTTTTTTTTTAAAAAGTTTTTTTTCAAAAAAAAAAGTTGAAAATTGGAACGAAAATAAAAATAATAATTACGTTTATATTGTATATTTGCTTTCTATTCCTCGTTCCCGGTTGTGGTAACGTTTTATCAATTTTTTCTTCTTCTTTGTAATGTGGAAAAAGCGATTTGAAATCAACTTTTTCTATTTCTAACTGTCTCATATTTAATGAATCGTCAATTAAATTTAATTCGTGAAGTAATTTGACGGTTTTCATAAAAACAGATTTTTTAGCTTCTTTCATGTTCGACTTTAAATCTCCCTGTTGAAATCAATATTTATAATTTATATATATATATATATATATATATATATATATATATATATATATATATATATATATATATATATATATATATATATGCAGTATATGTACAATTTGAAAAATTATATTTACATATATTACCTCGATGACGTCTGGAATTCCCGAATTAAAAGGAAGTTTAAGAAAGGCACGTTTCATTTCGCCAAATTTTTTATAAAAAATTTCGGGACATAAAAATGTAAACATGTCTTGAGGCAATTGTCCACAATATTTTTCAACGCATGCAATCGCCATACATCCATCGACAAAAATGGCGTCCGATTTGCCAACTATACTAATTGTTTCATTTTTATTACATTTTTCCAAATAAACATCTGGTAATGATATCTCTCCCCGTATTCTCTATTAAAATAACAATAAAAATTATTTTATCATTCCCCTCCCCCCCCCAAAAAAAAAAAAAAATGAGTAGTTTTAATTATAAAAATCAAATTTGATTAATAAATCCTCCTCTTCTTCTTCTTTAATGAGATTTTCAAATTATAATACAAACTTTGATAACAAACGCAACAAAATAATATACCTCGTTTAAAGTTTTCTCGAAATCTCTATATTCATCAATAAGTTTTTCATTTTTTTTTTCATTTTCATCAGAGAAAATATAATAAATACTATTTTCGTTTCTTGCTCTACCTCTGCTTTGAATATAACTTGAATATCCTTTGGGAAAATCAAAACTTATAACCAAATTACAAGCAGGCAAATCGATACCTTCTTCAAGTATATTCGTTGCAAATATTAAATTTAATTCACCGGAAGCCATTCTAAAAAAAAAAAAAAAAAAAGTTTTGTATCCGGTTAATATAAGGACGATTGACGATTACAATAATATTTTACCTTTTCATTATTTCGTTTTTTTTTCGAGATATGTCTACAAAATCATTATTCATATAAGAACTAGCGACCATGAATTCCGGTTTAACCGATTCGAAATTCTTATCGCAACCTCTTAATCTTTGCATAATGAAAGCTAATAACAAAGCCGTTTGTCGTCTGTGTACGAAAACAAGGCCGCATTTGAAATCGAAATTATCCGAATTAAAATAATCTCGTATTGTATCGATTAAGAGTTTAACTTTTCCTGATGAAAAATCATAAATTAATTGTCCACTTTCTTCTTCGTCTTCCATAATCATGGCTAATAAGTACCTGGGATCAAACATTTTTTTAACCGGATGAAGAATTATTATAATAATAATAATATTAAATTAATTTTATTTTACCTAATTTTACATAATTCCGTTTTAGCATAAATTAATATTTGACAATGAACTGGATCCGTTGATAAAAGCCTTATTTTATCCAATTCTATCATGTAATATAAAGCTGATAATGAACCGCCAAAAATTCCCAATTCTAATAAACTAGTACGAGCGTTTTCTAAAACAAAATTCACTTTACTTTGAGTATATATATATATATATATATATAATAATTTTTCTTCTAATAATACAAAATAAAAGAGAAAATTTGAGAATGATAAAAAATCATTTGTTTTCACATTTAATATTTATTATTATTATTATTATTATTATTATTATCTAACCCAAAATTTATTTTCTTATAATGAATTATATAAATTTTTTTTTATTAGTAAATAAACTAAAAAATTACCTATGTATCTTTTAATAATATTTGATTTATTTTTCACCTGTACTTTTAAATTTTCATCATTTATAAGAATATCAGGCACGTTAATATTTTCAATAACACATGTTTCTTCTATCACTTTAATTACATCATCGTAAATGCTTAAAACTTCATTTATGGAATGTGTTGTGTTCAAATTATAATTAAGTATTTTCTCAACGCAAACTGACATGTATCTAAAATACATTAATTAATTAATCAATTTGATTATTTTGATGTCTTAAAAAAATCTTTTTCGATTGAATTAAACATGTAAACTACCGAGTGATGTCACTATTTTCACTAATCGATATAATTTTGGCTCTGTAAGTTTCCTCCATTTCTCTCAATGAAATTTCTATGTCTGTTTTTTTAATGTTCATTTTTAATAATGTTGCTGATAAACCCAAAATTAAAGGCAATTTAGAATCGGGTAAATCTTTAAATTCTTGCATGATCTAAAATTAATGTTGAGAATAAATAAAAAATTCGTGGAGATTGTTAAAGTTGGAAAGCAGGTAACAAAGCAGGTTTATAATAGGAGATTACACTCTGAGAAAATAGTTAAATTAAACATTTGCTAAGAAAAAAAAAAAAAGCAAAAAAACACTTACTCTAATAAATTAATAATAATAATAATTTAATAAAAAAAATTTACTTACTCTTTTATACGGATGATTCAAAGTCCCATGATGGCATTCATCGAAAACTATAAGACTTATATTTTCTGCTCCGATAAATTTTAAAGTTAACAATCCCTTTAAAATTTCTGCAGTTAAAACCATTACCTAAAAAAAAAAAAAAATGTTCAAATGTTAATATAAATGAAAATAATAATCAAAACTTAAAAGGGGGGAGGGGAAAATATTGTATTTATTCACTTGATAAATTTATAGTAAAAGAATTTTTTTTACTTGTTTTTTTAAAAACTCTCCCAACCAAATGTCTTTATTCCACGAATCAACATTCATGTCGCCTGTGTAATAACCGATTTTAAATTTTGTGTGAGTGCATAAAACTTTTGCAAGTTGATAAACCAAAACTTTAGTTGCACCAATAAAAAAAACTCTTTTCCCACCTTCATTGTAAGGTCTAAAAAAAAAAAATAAAATCAGTATTACTTTGAACAATACAAAATGGTTATTTTTTTTATTTAAATAATGATAATAAATATACTATTATAATATAATATACTATAAATACAGTAAGTGTAAGTAAATATACTATAAATATATGAAAATTAAAAATACTTTTTTATTTCCTGAGTTTTACTTAATAAAACTTGTATCGCAATTAATGTTTTACCAGTACCAGTGGGTAAATAAATAATCGAATTTTGTTTTTTGGCTATTTCAATTAACTCAGCCTGATAATTTCTGATCATAAAGTTTTTTTTATACCTAAAAAAAAAATTATTAATACTAATTATAAATAAAACCAATTTGAATGTATTGAAAATAATTTTGTGGGTATGTTAACTAATACTGTTTTTTAAAACCTAGTTTTTAATATATATATATTAATTAATTAAAAAATATATTCAAAACTCACTGAGAATTATTATCATTAGAAGAAGACTCTCCTAAAATTTTCTCCATTTTACATTTAAAGAAAAAATAATTTTTATTTAAAGTAAGTTTTTTTTTTTAATAAAATGATCACTTGATGAATCGATTTCGGTTTAGAAATCTTGAAATATTAATCTTAACACATAAATATTGCTTTTCAATAACACTTTTTTTTTTTTTTGATTAAACTAACCAAACATTCATAACGGAAAATACAATAAAAATACAAAATAAATTTTCCTTCTACATTTTACATACACAAAGTCTTTCTTTCTACCTAAATTAAATATGAACAAGTTTTTGCTACGTTATGAAGAGCAATAATGTTAAATTCAAATGTAAACTTAAAAAAAAATAAAAAACAATTATTTAAATTATCAGAAATTAATAGGAATCATAATTTAAAAAGAAAAAAAAAAAAAACTGATTTTTAGAAAAATTTTAAATATTTATTAATTAAAAAAAAAATCTTTTAAATATTGTATTAAAAAAAAAATTTGTGATAATAAGTTTACTATAAAATTGTCTATTTGTTTTTCTTTTTTTTTTTTTTTTAAGACTTGATTACTGTTTAGGTTAAATAAATTATAAATTCAAACTGTTTTTTTTAAAAAAATTTCTTAAAAAAACATTTTTTTTTTTATTGTTTCTACAAAGTTAATACAAAATTTTATTGTTATAAATGGTTGCTAAATGTAAATTTCTGTCATAATTTATTTGTTTTTTAAAAAGGTTTGTTATTTCTTTCTTTCTTTCTCAACATATTTTTTGTTTTTATGTGTGTGTGTCAAAAATTAAATTTAAATTATAAATAATTATTAAAAATTTATTATTTTTAAGATGATACTGAGAATGGGAAAATGTCAAACATTGATTAATTATCAAATTTACAACCATAAAACCTTTGGAAATAAATTTATATTAAATGAGGTATTACCTCAAAAAAGAAATTTAAATATATTTTGGGCATGGTTAAATAATGTTTTCAATAGGTATGTATTTTCAATTCTTTTTTGAAAATTTTTTAAAATCTCATATAAGGAAACTAATATTTATAATTTTTTTTAGGTAAAGTTATTCGTTTGTTGTTTATTTACTAATATCAATACTCTTCATTGACTGTAAGTTTTAAATTTTACAAAAAGCACATTCATTATTGAAAATTATTATAAAGGATAATATTATTGTTACAATTATTCATAACAAAGTTTTCAATAAAGTTAGTAATGTTAAAATCATGGACTAACATGAACTTATTAACATTGTTTGAAAAAAATAAGTAATAGGATAGTAGTTTTTAAAAAAAAGGTATAAAAGGTAAAAATAAGGTATAATAGGTATTATAATGTTACATTAGGTGAGACAAGTTTTTGTTTTCATCTTCGATTTTATTTTTTAAATAATTTAAATCGTTTTTCATCTGTTCAATTTCATTTATATCGTTCATAACGAAATTGGTTTCTTCCAGCCACGATTCCAGAGTTTCTTTATATTTTTTTTGTGCGTTGGAATATTTAGGGTTTTGCCTTACATCATCGTACATTTCTATAAGTTGATTTCTAAATTGGTACACGAGTAACTTTAAATTATTATCTTTTTGAAAATTATTTCCTAGCTGTGTTGTAAATCCTAATTGATTCTTAAATTTTTCTATCGTCATTTGAAGTTCCTCGATTTTTTTATTTTCAATTTCAATTTCATCTTTTTGCAATTGACACAATTCATTTGTTAATTGTCTTAAAAGACATTCTTCTGCACATTGAACTTCAACTTGTTTGGCTAAACTTTCAGAATATTCACGTAATTTTCTTTCTTCTTTTAAAATATTTTCAAGGTTTTCTATTTTTTTATAATTATTTTTTTCCAAATCCGTTAAATTTTTATTTATTGTTTTCAAATTACCAACATCGATTTCTAATCTTTCAATTTTTTTAAATAAATCAGCATTTTTGCTCTCTGAAACCATAGTTTTAAATCTTTCTAAATTTTTAATTTTTTCTTCCTTAATTTCATTTAATTTACTCAGATTTTTTATTTGATCTTTTAAATTATTTAATTGTTCTTCTGTTATCACGTATCGCGACATTTTTAATAAATGCGCTCAATGATTGAAGAAACAAAAACTTGTCATTTACTCAACATTTTGTAATTTTTTTTTTTTTTTTTTTTTAAACAACAATTGACATTTTTTATTTTTATTTTTTATTTTTATTGATTTTAAATATATATATTGGTATCTCTAAAAAAAAAAAAAAAATATTTATAAAATAAATGGATGTTTATGAAACAAAAATGGCAATTGTCGAAGAATGTGAGGAATTTATTTTTTTAAAACTATCAAATGCATTAAGTAATTTTTTAAATTCTCATTTACAATTAATAATAATAATACAAAATTTTTAATTAATATTGAAAAATTAAATATTTTTAATTTTTTTTTTAAAAAATTTATAAGGAACATGGTGGTATTTTTAAAAAAAAAAAAAAAGTTGACTCAAAAATATATAGTTTAAAAAAATTTTTTTGTTAGGGTTGATAAAAATCGTTTAAAAATTTTGGGACCTGATGTAAATTGTGCAGAATGGATATTAAGAAATGGTGGCACTGTTCGTTTTAAAAATCAAAAGTTTTTCATTGAAGATTATAATGTTTTAATGGAAATGGAAGAATTAAATAACTATTCAAAATATAAACTCGAAGAAATTTTTGCCCAAAAAGCAGGATTGAGTTATTTAGGGTAATTTATAAAGAGTATTAGTTAAAATAAAATTTTGAAATTTTTAATCGGTTTTTATATGTGTGTTTTCCCTTTTTTTTTTTTTTTACATTTTGCAGATTTGAACATTTAAAAAATTGTGAACATATTAAAAAAATTAGATTGATTGCTTGTCACTTTTTAAATGATCAATGTTTAAATAAATTATCATATGTAAAAAATTCATTAGAATTTTTGGAAATAAGATCAAGTTTTTTGGTTCACAATAAAGGAATTTTATCACTGTCACAGTTAAAGTAAATGTTTCACTTAGAAATTCTTATTTCCTTAACAACTTTTATTATTATTATTATTATTGTCTTTTTTTTTTTTTTCAGCAATTTAAAAACCCTAATTTTAGCCGATTTACCCGAAGTGGAAAAAAAAGGAGAATGTGAAGCAGCTTTAAAAAAAGCTTTAACTAATTGCAAAATTGTTTTTGAATAATATGTGGGAAAAAAAGTGCAGACATTAAATTTATGTTCCACTCAAAAACAAAAAAAAAAAAAAAAAACAGGTAATTAGAAGAAAATTGTTTCACTTACCTTTTTTCTCAGGTATTAAACGGAGCCTAAAGTTCTTGAGTATGATAGGTTGATTTTTTGAAATTCTGAAAATATATAAAAATACAATTATAATTATTAAAAAACTTTTTATTACAAATTAAGTTACTAAATATTTTTGACTGATGGTATTATGTAAAACTGTGCTTTATGTATTTAATAATTTATTATTAGAGAATTTTATTTAATTTAATGAAAATAATTTTATTTCACCTTATAAATCTCATTATACTGCAATACATTTTAAAAATGTAAATACAACTGGTAAATGTAAATACAAATGGTTCTAATATAAAAAAATATTTAATACAACTTATTACTCTGGTTAAAAAAACTGTTAATAACCGCCAAATTTAAAAAGCGATTCTTTTGAAATAAATTTAACGGTAGATATTACCCCAGAAGTGGTTTTAGACACGCAATTTATTACTATTTAGTTCTTATTTGTAAGATAATTTTTTTGGTTATTTTTTATTTTTTTTGTTTTTTATCTTTAACGGATGGTTTTTTAATTTACTACTTCTTCGCTTCGTGTATAAAATTAATATGACTGAAATAAAGTATCAACCTTTAGCTCCCATATCTTCTGAAAAATTAATTGAAGGAGGAGAAAAACTTAATTTTATCAGACCAGATACACCTAGCCGATGCACATGGAAACCAGGATTAAATTCATCTTCTTCTCCTCACAATATCAAGCCTTTGGAAGAACGATTAAAAATTTTACCAAATGTTCTTCATGCTGTTGGTAACACACCATTAATTAAACTAAACAGAATTCCCAATAGTTATGGAATAAAATGTGAAATGTGTAAGTTCTTAAAAATTGTTATTTAAAATTTTTTCACAGTTAATTATAAGTAACATTTTTATTGTAGTGGCAAAGTGTGAATTTTTCAATCCAGCAGGAAGTGTAAAAGACAGAATAGCCATAAGAATGATTGAAGATGCTGAAATGAAAGGGTTACTGAAACCTGGATCTACAATAATTGAACCAACTTCTGGCAATACAGGTAAAAATCCTTTTTTTAAGACTTTTTAACATATTCGAAAAAAATTCAATTTTTTTTTTTTTTTTTTTTTTTTAGGGCTTGGATTAGCAATGGGAGCTGCTGTTAAAGGGTATAGGTGCATTATTGTTATGCCTCTTAAAATGTCAAATGAAAAGGTTAATGCTCTAAAAGCTTTAGGTGCCGAAGTTATTAGAACTCCTACCTCGGCTTCATTTGATTCTCCAGAAGGATTAATCGCTGTAGCTCAAAAATTAAGCAAAGAAATTCCAAATTCAATTATTTTGGATCAGGTACTATTATTTTAAATTAAAATTTTAGTTATGTTCAATACATTTGATTTTTAAAAAACTTTACCACTTTCAAAATTGGTTTAAAATATAAATTTTATTAAAACGTTATTATTAGTATCGAAATGCATATAATCCCATTGCTCATTATGAGCACACAGCCGAAGAAATTTTAAGTCAGTGTAATAGAAAAGTGGATGCCATTGTATGTGGTGCTGGAACTGGAGGAACTGCATGTGGAATAGGTAGAAAAATAAAAGATGTACTTCCATCGTGTAAAGTAATTGCAGCAGACCCATTGGGCTCTTCTTTGTCTCTTCCACCTGAATTAAATAAATCTGATGTTACTTTTTACGAAGTTGAAGGAATAGGTTATGATTTCATTCCTACAGTTTTAGGTAAATTATCAATGAACTTATTTTATTTCTAATGTTTATAAAAAAATATTATTCACAATATTATACCTTTAGACAGATCAGTTATTGATGAATGGCACAAAACTAATGACAAAGATTCTCTTTTAATGGCGAGAAGACTTATAAGGGAAGAAGGATTATTGTGTGGTAACTATTTAAATATTATAATACATATTTTTAAATGTGTTGACATTCAAAAAATTTTTTTAAATTTTTCAGGAGGAAGTAGTGGTTCAGCCATGACTGTTGCCATTAAGGTGGCTAAAAAAATGAAAGAGGGAGAAAGACTTGTGGTAATTTTACCAGATGGTATGAGAAATTACATGTCAAAGTTTATTATAGATTCATGGATGAAAATCAGAAAGTTTAACAATGATGGTATTGAAGAAATTCCATGGTATTTAACATTTTATTTATTTAAATTACCTTTTGGCTTTTTATGTTTAGTTTAACAAGTTTTTTTTTTTTTTAAATTATCAATTAAGGTGGTCAAACTTACCTGTCAGTGTATTAAAAATGAGAACGCCTCCAACGGTGACGTCAACTTCAAAGTGTTCTGATGCTATTAAAATAATGAAAGAAATGGATTTAGATTATTTGTTTGTCATTAAAGAAAAGTAAACTTATTTAAAATTGCAATTATTGTATTAATAATAATTTTTTCATTAATAATGGAGTATGTAAAAATTTTGTTTTTTAGGGAAATTATTGGTGTTGTTTCGACCAATAAAATTTTAAATCTCATAGCGGATTCTACATGCAATTTAGAAAATACAGTTGAAAAATTTCTCGATCCAGTTCAAATTGTTAACAATTCAGTTTCTCTTGATAAAATTTGTTTAATTTTTCAAACGGAAAAATTTGTTTTAATTAATGGTGCAGTACTTTTACAAATTAGTTTTTAATTAGTTTAGTCGAAAAAAAAGTTTTTGCAAGATAAATTTTAATTGAAATTTTATACTTTACAGTTTTCAATTCGAATGAATTAAGCCAGAAATTTATCACAAGCTCCGATTTACTTCATTTCATCAACGGTAATGAAAACACGCAATGAAAAATTATATTAGAATAAAGTTGAAATGTTGTGAAGAATGCAAAGAAATTTTTTACTTAACAGTTGAATAGAAAACGAAGATGAATTCCTGAATATTTTTTTATTTTTTTAAACTACATATCAATGAATGATGTTTTGTAATGCTTTTTTATTATACAAAAATTAATTATTTGTAATATAAATGACTATTTAAGAAAATGAAATTATACTTGATAATTATTTATTTAATAATCCTTTGATATTATATACATAAATAATTAAATTTATTTTAAGCCTTTAATGTAAATTATGCTAAATATTTATATAAACATAAAATCAATAATGAAAAAATGAATAAAATTATATTGCTTTTACAAAATATTACAAAAGTAAAAAATATTCTAAAAAATAAATTGGCAAAATATTATACTGTGTAAACATTCTTTAAATTTTATACAAAAAAAAAACTACATCAACTCTATTGAAATTCATGAATTATATCTTTAAGTATGAGGAAAGGCATTGTTTCAATGATTTGTACAATTAATATTACTGTATTTGAAAGTGCTGTATTTGTTCAGGATAAGCATATAAAATTGTATCAGAATTTGAATTATCTGGTATAACTCCTGCACCTAAAATAATGAAGAAAATTTTACCCTACTTAAATAAAATAAATCTAAATTAGTTTTAGAAAACAAATAAACTGATTAAATAATTTTTTAAATTACTTACTGAAAACTTTATTTTCATATATTTCTTCAATTGTAGGTCTATCACCTTTAGTTGCTTCCCTATATTTTTGAAGGTATATTTTCAGAGGTTCAACATAATTATCGAAACCTAAAGAATCCAAATATTAAATTTATTGAAAATTTATAAGGGTCCATCGAGTAACATTAAAAAAAAAAAAATTATAATTGTAAAACTTACCAAGAGTTGTCATTGCAAATAATATATCCTCACCATTTATAGTTTTTCTTTTTTCCATATGACATCTGTCACTTGCTTCACTAGTTATAAATGAAATAAATTCAGACACACATTCCTGTACACATTCCCTAGCATCTTTGGCAATCTAAAAATTTAAATTGAAGTTTTAAAAAAAAATATATTTAAAGTTTTTAAATAATAATAAGTATTTACCTTTCCCAATTCAGGTACAGCTTTTTTCATTATTTTAGCAACATTTGCAATGGGAAGAAAACGATCTTGCTCTCTCAAAGGAGCTCCTACTTTTTCCTTAGTGTCATTCGTATCGTCGTCTGTATTTTCGGCAGATAAATTTCCATCTACGTCATCTAAGAAAAGATTTTACGTAAATATATTTAAGGGAAAGACTAATCATTAAAATTTAATATATATAAAAATACCTTCGAGATCATCACCATGTACAGTGTAAACACCATCCGTGAGAAAAGCAGCGCCCCCTAAATCATCCCCGCTTTCGCTGGCTTCCATAACACTAATCATAAAATTGTGATGCCTAATATATATTTATATTACTTCTTTATAGGTTTTTATAAATAAACTTAGTTTTATAAAGCTAAAGCAAATTTCATTTTTTTTAGATTATGTAAACCGTTACATAAAAAAAGAACCATGAATTGTAGCCTCGTAAGCTACACTACCCTTAATTTACTTAATCTAGATTTAACAGTTTTGCATAACTTGATTTAGTAGCAAATATTAGTTTTTCTTTCCAATAGCAAAAAAATTTTATGCATCTATTTCCGGTAAAAAATTTTTAAACCGTGTAATTCTCTTCAGGCGCACAATTTAAAATATATTATTGAATTTAATAATTTAATCTAAATTCTGAATAAAAATATACACAAAATCAATAAGACGACTTCACAAAGAATTTAAAACTTAACATTTATTAATGTTAATGCTTCATGTTTTATATGAGAAATGAAAAATATAAAAGTATATAAAAAATGTCTTTCAAAACATAACTGTTTTTTAAAAAAAAAATTCACAAAAATTTAAGTTTTAAAAATTAAAATCAAAATTTAATCGTGATTAAATCACGTTTACCTTATAAAAACTCCATTTCACCAGCAAATAAATTTAAATTTGTTTACAACCTATTTTTAAAAAAATCTTATTTCGAAAACTGATTTAATCAAAAATTCTAAATCCGGTTGAAAAAAATGTAGAAGAAAAACAGTTCAAAAAATAATAAAAATTAAAAAAATTTAAATTTAAACAACCATTTTATTATCAAAATTAAAAGCTACTACAACCATTTTTTACTTATATCAATGTATTCTCCATCACAAATGGGATAATTTTCTAATGGTGGTGTTTCCGATGGTCCATTAAATTGAAAAGGAATTAATTTTTCATCAATCTACAAAAATAAAAAATTATTTTATACAAACAAATTTTTCTTAAAAAGTAAAAATGAAAACAACCAAAAATTTTATTTCTTTTTTTCTACTTTTACATATTTTTAATATCATTTTCGATGCTTGTATCCATGCGAATAAGTAAAAATTAATAAATTTATTAAGTGTATTTATTTTTACCCTAACTGCTGCTTGGTATAATTCTTCTGATTCTAATCTTAATTCATTCAATGCTTGTTTTTGAGATGTTATAAGCCTGTTAATAAGCATTATATCAGACTTCATTTCATTACTTTTTACTTTACTCCATTCTCTTAATATTTTCATCCTCTCGTATAAAACATTCTCCGAAATATTAATTTCTCTACTTCTTTGCCTAAAATCAAAAATAATAATTAATATTATTAACAATGGTTGATTGAGAATTATCTATTCCACATGAAAACAAATATTTATATGTAAAATTTTATATAGATTAGATATGATTTGCAATATTAAAAGTATAAAAATTTTAACATATAAATAAAAATATTTTACTCAAAACAGTAATTATTATTATACTTTTCAATAATTTAATATTAATTTTATAAATTATTAATAATACCATAATTTAAGTTATACAATAAGTTATGCATAAAGTATACTTGAAATTGTTAATCAAAATTTTTTAAAATAGTAAAATGAATTCTTAACTGTTTATTATCTTCCATTAAGCAAATAGGAATCTCATTTTCTTCAATAGGTTTTTCCTCCTTATTAAGCCTCAACCTTTTTTTTAATAATTTTTCAATTTTTTTCTTTTTTTTTTCTTCTCTTGCCTTGATGATACTAACATCTATTTTCTTCTTAGCTTTCATTGGTTCAGCCCTGTTTAACAATAAATTATAAATATGAATACCTTTATATTAAAAACAATTAAAAATTATGAAAAATAAATGTTACTTACCATAATGTATTTGATAATTTAACTTGTAATGGAAAAGTGGCGGTGTGTATTTGCTTTATTCCAAAACAAAAGTTATAACTCGACCTGAAACATATTCTACAAATAGAATTTTTCAATTATTTATTGTAAAATTACAAATAATTTTAATTACTTGATAGTGTGAATTAACTTTAAAGCTGAAGTCATATTTATTTTGAATAATAAATAGATTTTTTTTTACCTAAACAAATATATATTTTTTATTAATAAACCTTTAATACATTACAATGACTAGTGCCACGATAAAATTTGATACGTTTCCCTGGTGATCTTTTTTTAAAAATAAAAATCTTGTTTTTAAAACTTTTAAAAATGTTTTCTATTGCTTCCAAAGTTAAAGAAGGTGGATTTACTAAAACAATTTATTCGATGGTATTATTTTACAAGCTGAAATGTTTTCATTAAAGAAATAAAAATTAAATAAATTAAAATAATTTAAATAAAAAATTAATAAATAAACTTTGTTGTAGATTAAAGAACAAAGATATAGAGAAGTTATTAACATACTAAACGAAATTTCATCTGTAAATGCAAATGCAAGAGTAAGTTCAAATATTTTAAATATATATATTTATTCATAATTAATATTTAAAAATTTTATTATTTTGTTTAGTCGAGAGCCGCCTATTCATTATTAGCATATTGTTATTATTATACTCAAGATTATATTAACGCAGCTACCTGTTATGAACAACTGGTCAATTTATTTCCAAATGAAAAAGAATATAAATTTTATTTTGCCTTATCTTTGTATCAGTCATGTTTGTATGAAGAAGCAATGCGTGTAGCTAATGAAATAAATGAACCTCATTTAGCCTCAAAAGTAAGTAAAATAAATATAAAAGTATATATATATTTACCTTTAGGTAAGTACAAATTAATGCATAATTTTTTTTTTTTTCTTAATTTCAGGTTATTAAATTACAAGCTGCCATTAAATATGAAGAAGGTGATATTATAGCTGCAAAAAGTTTTTTAGACTCGTCAACGTTCGACGATTTTGACATAGATATATTTCATGGTTGTTTTTTATATAAAGTATGATAAGAAATTTACATTACAAAAAAAAATTTTATGATACTTTTTATGAAATTTGTAAAACAAATCAATTTTGTTGTTATAGGAGGATCAATTTGAAGAAGCATTACAAAAGCTAAGTGCTGCATTAATCAAGACAGGATTTAATGGTCATTTATCATATAATATTGCACTCTGTTATTATAAATTGAAAGAATATACGCCTGCTCTTAAACACATTGGTATTTTATTTCAATAAATTAAAATTTTTTATTTTGACTAAATCAGATATTTACATTAGTTATGTTATTACAAAATTATCTCATAAATTTTTTTGCTGTTTAATTATTTCTTTAGGAATTTAACTAATTGTAAACATTGGTAATGAAATAATATAACTATTGAAATAAAGTAAAATCAAAATTAATTTTTAAAAACCAATTGTAATTATATAAATATATAATAATAATAATAGTTGAATTGTGACAAATTTAGGTGATATAATAGAAAGAGGAATAAGAGATCATCCAGAACTTTCTGTTGGAATGGCTACAGAAGGGATTGAAGTTAGAAGTGTAGGAAATACATTGACTCTACATGAAACTGCTCTTATCGAAGCTTTTAATTTGAAAGCCGCCATTGAATATCAGTTAAAAAATTGTAAATATTTTTCCCTTAGCTTTAATTTTTATCTTTTAAATGTAATAAATACATATTTTTTTTTTTTGTAAACAGATGAAGCAGCCAAAGAAGCTATAACAGACATGCCTCCTCGTTCTGAAAAAGAATTAGATGCCGTCACACTTCATAATCAAGCATTAATGAATATGGAATCAAATCCTGCAGAAGGTTTTGAAAAGCTACAATTTCTTATATCTCAAAATCCGTATCCACCTGAAACTTTTTGGACTTTGCTTTTACTTTATTGCAAATATGAATATTACGATCTTGCTGCTGATGTTTTGGCAGAAAATAAACAATTGACACGTTCTTATTCTTCGGAGGTAAAAATCAGCTCGAAATTGTTTTCCTTTGTTTTTTTTTTTTAAATAAATTTAATATCATTTTAAACTCATTTTAGTATCTATTAGAGTTCTTAGATGCTTTAATAACAAAACAAACTTCTCCAGAAGAGGGTTACAGAAAGTTGGATGAAATAGCATCTAAACACACAGAAATTTTAAGAAAACTTACTAAACAAGTACAAGAAGCCAGACAAAATAAAGATGATGAAGCTGTTAAAAAAACCGTTATGGATTATGAAGATGCTTTAGAAAGGTTTTTATAAAAAAAATTTTATTGGATTATTTTCGTGGTATGTAAGAAAACAAAAAAAAGAATTTTCTTTAAAGGTATATTCCAGTTTTGATGGCTCAAGCAAAAATTTATTGGGAAATGGAAAATTATAGTCAAGTTGAAAAAATATTTAGAAAATCCGTTGAGTTTTGTAATGATAACGACACGTGGAAATTAAATGTTGCTCACGTGCTTTTTATGCAACAAAATAAATTTAAAGAAGCTAAAGGATTTTACGAACCTATTGTGAAAAAAAATTATGATAATGTTAGTATAATTAAAATTAATTTTTTTATTTTAATTGATTCAAATTTCTCACGATAAACATATGCGAAAAATGGTTGGACAATTTTTTTGTTTAAAAATTGCGTATTAAGAAATAATTTTGAAAATATTTTGTAGATATTAAGCATAAGTGCCATTGTTCTGGCAAATTTATGCGTTTCTTATATAATGACAAATCAAAATGAGGATGCAGAAGAATTGATGAGAAAAATAGAAAGAGAAGAAGAACAAATATCTCATGATGATCCTGAAAAAAAACTTTTTCATTTATGTATAGTTAATTTAGTTATAGGGTATAATTTTTTTTTTTTTTTTAAAAAAATCAATTAATTGAATTATTAACATTAAATTAAATAATAATAAAATTTTACAATATTTATTGACTTTTTAAGAACTTTATATTGCGCCAGAGGAAATTATGAATTTGGTATTTCAAGAGTAATTAAAAGTATGGAACCTTATAATAAAAAACTAGGAATAGATACCTGGTAATTATTTATATAAAATGTTTTACAGTAAATATTAAATTATAATGATAAAATATTCATCATTTTCAGGTTTTATGCGAAAAGAAGTTTTATGTCAATGATTGAAAATTTAGCAAAACATATAATAGTTATTAAAGATTCTGTTTTTCAAGAATGTTTATTGTTTTTAGAACAATGTGAAAGTAAGTTGAAGGAAATAAAACTTTTTTTTTTAAAAAAAAAGAAATATATCTAAAGTTTTGGTTTTGTTTTAGTGTATGGAAAAAATATAAAAACAATTTTAGATGATCCATTGGGTGGAATGGACGAAGCATTTACTGGAAAAAATACCGTTGCTTACGAAGCAAGATATTTAAAATATTTATTGCTAAAAGTACAAGAATATTAATAAATAAATCAATAATTTGTATTAGAGTGTATTACGAGAGTTTTTAATGCAATATTGTTTCAGTAGTTACCAACTTAACAGTTATTATAATTATTTATTTAATAAATTATTATTGTAAAAAATTTAATATAAAATTGATATTAAAATAATATGAAACGTTGAAATTTTTTCGAAACTCGAGTAAAGGGAATAAATGTAGTCTGGATAAATTTTAGAAGAAAAATAAGGAGAAAAAATAATTATATAAAAAAAAAAAAATTAACTTGATGTTGTTGAACATTTATGAATTTTCTATTTTTTAAACTTTAAATCATCTACTCACACTTTTAAATACTAATTAATTATTTTTTTTTTTTTTAAATAAGGCGGAAACAAGCAATGCAAACTCAATTATTTAGTCTATTTTTTTCTTGCTTTTTCTTTTCCACAATCACAAAATATCTATTTATAATCATCACATAACAGAAAGACAACATTTATATTGCAAACAAAATAATTTTTTATATATTTTTTTAAAAATATTTTGATCAAAGGTCAAGGTTAAACAAATTCAATTGATAATTATTGTATAAGGATATAATAACATATTACTACTTTCATTTTTGAATTTTTATTTAATTTCCCCCCCCCCTCCACAATTTCTTAATTTCTTTTTGTTATATATATATATACAAAAAAAAAAAAATTAATAAATTTCCAAACGATTTACCTACAAGGTGGAATGTTTAATTAATTAAACAAATTAAAGTGAAATATTCTTATACGAAGGTATGACAATATTTAAAAAAATTTTCCAATATGTTGATGTAAACAAGCATATTAGTTTAAATGAAATTTTTTTTTTTTTTTTTTTTTTTTT